TATCGAGAAGTTATCAGCATCCTCTCGAAAACGAATTTATTCCTTAATTAGTTATCGCGAATCCGTTTTACCTGGCTTTTGCCGAAGGGATTCCGTCGTTTAATTATCCGAATTGTTAATAGTTTGTCTAGCTAAGTTTCGACTAACGAAATCCCCGAAATTAATTAATCCGAAACCCGGAAAAAGTTTTTCCCGCGAATTTCACCGCCGCCGGGAAAAAGTCTGTTTTGATCCTATTTTCGGTGATTTTTTACATTGTTTTACTTCTAATTTTCTCTACATATATTGACACTGTTTTGAGTCCCTTCTGACTTTGTTTAGTTCCTTGTTTTGACTCTTAATTGTTTTGAACTTATCTTGACCCTATTTGGACCTGGATGTTTTAAACCTCTGTTTTGATCCTATTTTCCCTATATTGTTAATCCTGTCTTCACTCCATTTTGATTCTGTTTTGACTCTATTTTGACCATTTTTTTTATCTTGACTCATGTTTGACCCTGTTGTCACTCCATCATTTACACAATTTCTTCCTTTAAATTTTAAAACCTTTTTTCATCGCGAATAAGAAAATTCTCCCACGGGAGGTTGCGATGAAAGCCAGTCTTCGTCCATATACTCACACATATATACGGGGGTCGGAGAAAAAGATACGCTCGCCCCTTACCCCCCAAGATATCCGCCAAATCTGAATTTACGACGTGCTTACGGTGATTTATTCCGTCTTTGGCGGGAATTTTAAAACGCCAGATTTTCGGGCGGGGTAGTTGCTTTTCGCCCGGTGCACCTGAATAGGTTTAGATGAGGAACGTGTTCGGATTTTCACGCTATATACGATATTCCGTTGCGACGTTGCCGATATATAATACCGTTGCGCTATACATACATATGTATTCGCGCAATTTACGTCCGTTTGTTTGTACGAATGGTTTAATAACAAATTTCGATTTGTTGTCTTTTAATTAACTGTAATGGAGAGAGCCGGCCGGTTTGTTTGTTCGAAACGCAACGGCGCGAATTGCGATTCGACTAATAATTATTAGATATTATTCGGCCGAATAACCTGAAATTGTATAGTTTGTCACGAAATATTTCGGTAAAATGCCCTACAAGAAGAGAGGAGAGAGAGAGAGAGGGGCTAGAAATATGAGAGAGGCTAAAGAGATGAGAGATGCTAGAGAGTTGAGAGAGGCTAGAGAGTTGAGAGAGGCTAGGAAGATGAGAGAAGCTAGAGAATTGATTGATTGAAGTTTATTTAGCTTTCTCAGCTATTATGTTATAAATAGCTAGAGGCTAGAGAGTTGAGAGAGGGTAGAGAGGAGAGAGTTTATTGAGAAAGGAAAGAATAGAGAGTGATGATGGGTTTCCTAATAAGATTGATACGTTTTTAAAATGAAATTAAACAACTCCATTCAGTCGTAAACTCACTGCCTTGTTTTTGTCATTGACTCGTTTTTTTTTAAATAATTTTTTCCCAATTATTAATCATTTCGGTATCAAAAATTAACCGGCGATTTAATAAGAAAAATCCCGCGTAAAATTCCCCGGGCGCTACTTAACTTTCTCCATCCTACACCAGCTCTCCAGCCGAGCCCTTCGGCTGGATTATCCTCGAGGTAAGCGCGCGAAGGGTTAATGCATCGGCGGGCCGGAAAGGACGAAAAGGACGACAAGGAGATGCAAATCGGGGCTCGATCAAATTTCAAAAGCCGGCTGATCCCCTGGAATAAATCACGCCGGTGTGTATATACACGCCCGATAAGCTAATATTCCATTAACTAATTTAATTCGACCGAATCAACAAGCTCGGGATAAGATCCGAATCGCCCGGCGAATTAGCCGAATGGAACGATGAATCCAATCAAACACCATCAAACAAAAATATTTAATTTTATCTACATACAAATTTCGATCGAAACGCTAATAATAAATAAATAAATAGCGGTGGAAAAACCAGTTTAAAACGGAAAATTAGCGTTCGACTTAATTGCCCGTTCCGTTCCCGAAAAACTCTCGTCTTCTCCTGATGATATCTAAATCCACTTAAACTTTTTAAGTGCGCACTACAATTTTAATTAGAGCGTCCCGGGAGCGTCGGGCTCTATTTAATCGCTCCAGGTACATGTACCTGGATCGTACGGATTCCGGAATTCCCTCTTCGAATCCCATTCTGCATTTTTAACGGACCGCCCGTCGATAATTCATCGGAATTAAATGTACATAACGTTCGATTTGCCCGGTGAAGGGGCGATGGGAAAATCGCGGCCGGGTTAATATGCGATTACATTGCGTTGTTCATCGGAATTGGTTATTGTGTATATGTTGCACTGGATTAAAGTTGGCGTATTATATTGAGCCTGCAGGTAACAAAAATAGTTGACTATAAAATAGAGACAAAAATAATCTAAAGACGGAACTAAGTTTAGGAAACTTTTGGATGAATTAGAAATGCTTAGAATCATTGAGATTGCGTCCAGATTGGTTTATAACTGTCTAGAACTATGAAGAACAATTTTAGAACTTTCCACAACATGATTCAGATTGCTCTAGTGCGAATCGTGAATCATTTAGAACTCTTCAAGAGTGTTATTAACAATAAATAAAATGTCGTATGGTGTAATTTTAGTATAGCAAGTGATAAAAAAACAAGAGGTAGGCAAGCAATCCATTGACCCCGACCGAATATAAAAGGAATAGTAAGGCGAAAATGTTTTATTTATCGGTCGCGAATAAAAAGCTCACCGCACAATTCCGAATTCAAATATCGCATTTAAGTTCCCGTCGCGATACCAATAAAACCCGAAAATAACGAAAAAAATACCCGAAATTCGGCGTTCGCAAAAAGGAAACTCCGACGGCGGAAGAAACTCCGCCCCGACAAACCCGACCACAGGACTCCCCATGAATATTTCATGGCTATCTCCTGATCCTTCCTGTAAGTCGGCCTCGAACTATTCGGTACACTAACTCGCTTAGCGAGCGGAAAATGCGCCCGAAATACCAACTCGCTACGAAGTTCTACTAACGTTTCTCGCGTTAAAAATTAACAGAACCGAATAATCCTATGCAGAATTTGATTCTTCGCTAAAACGAGGATTGTTTTAACGAGATGCCAACCTAAAACCAATCTTTCTTTTCGGTATTTGTGGTTTGTTTTACTAACTAAATAGGTTATTGGAAAAAGGGGATTTTTTTTTGTGAGAAGGAGGGTTTAAAGTCGACGATCCCGGACCGGCGACGATCATAACAGAACCAGAACGGGAGAGGAGCGAGCGAGCGGGCGAAGTCCCGTCGAAAAATCGATATGGAATCCCGTCAGGAGAGTAAAGTGTGCCAACGGCAGACAACCCGTAAAAAGACCAGATAAATTGAGTGTATCCTCGTATTTGTTCTTTTTGCCGATCCGGGGCCATACGAAAATGAAATATCGCCGAACGTGTAGTTAAAGTTTTAGCGTCTCTTTTCCAAATATTGACGGCGCTTATTCGTGCACGGAAAATACGAGTTTCATAAACGCCGGGAAATTTACATGGAAACCTCGACATACACCATGCCATTTTATCCCTCAACTTTCGCGAATTACGTTTCCAGATCCTTCCTAAATCTAGGATTTTTTTTTCCAATATGTCTATAGCATTTAATAAGCTACAATCGGTTCTAGACCAAACAGTTCTATTTCGCTCAGAATCGTTCCGTAAAATATTCCGGAGAGGATAAAAAAATCGCGTCACGCCAGTCTTATCGAATATACGATTTAATTAGATTTTCGCGAATTTATTAACATCTCTCCTCGGACCGGAATTTTATCTTCCAATCTGCGAAACGAATGCAAAGTTGTAACACATATTTTATGAGCCGTAGAGCCGGGGAAAACGGCGGAGAAACGGGGGAAAAACCGAGGGAAAGCGAAATCCTTCGGAGCTCGTTGGGAGTGCATTAGCGTTTTCGCGATGGTACGATTTTCCCTACACGAGAAAAAAATTGGACGTTACTATTAACAATATTAATACGTCGAATAGAACGACTGGGATCCCCGGGCATTTTTTTAATATATAAAAAATTACGACAATAAAGTTTGTAAGGTTCAGTAACTCTCGCTATATATTTTATCCTGCTTCTCTGCAAGGATATACTGTATAATATAATCCCGAACAGGAGTTTTTGAACAACTACATACAGCATAATAAAAGGACGATGTAAATAAAGCCGTTATACCGCAGGGCAATAAAACCTTCATTTCGAATTTATACCATCACGCATAATTCACCAGCGTTTATCGGTGATTTTACAGCTTGTTATTAACTTAAACGTACACCCTGTATACATCAATTCGGCTCTCATCGATTTTTTATCGAAAGCGGCAAAAAAACGTATTTTATTGCGCTTAAAAATGTCATATATCCCGATATTCCCGCTGTATGATGAAGTGACTGAAGATCCCGCGGTCCGAAACGCCCTATTAATAATTCATGATAGATCACAGCGGCCCGTTTCGATCTGTCGCAGGACGAATTCATCACCAGCCTACACACTCACCCTGTATAATGCGCGCGACACGACAGGATCCTGCGATAAAAACCGCCCGGAAGATGTCCAAATGCAAAGCGAATAAATCATTTTTCCGACGGCGTTTCCTTGCTTCAACATGGCCGAGGCGCTTCCTTGTTAATCCTAGAGAATAGAGAAAAAAAAATTAAAATAACGGAATACGTGAAACGTGCCGGAAACGCAAAATAACGAAACTATCGAGCATATGTAAGTTCTGCGAAAATATGACTCCTATGACTCAAAATATGACAACAGAACTTTAAAGTTTTCTACTTGTTATTCCAACATTTCTAATACACCTGTAGAATGGCATAACTGTGAGCTGTCTTTCAAAATATATGCACATCGAGCTTTTCAATCACTTAATAATCGACTATTCTCTCATATACAGCGTGTCGCAAAAAACTATTCATCACCATAACGATACAGGCTCTAAACTTTAGGTTCGAACAATGCTCATTCCATGCGCAATGGACGTCAGTTTCGTCAACAAAATGTCCGATTCCGGTGTCAAAATATCCCCGTCAAAATCCCAGTGATGCCCTTGTTGCTCGTAAACCCGGCGGAATGTTGGAACCTGCTGGAAACGGTCTACCAGCTGGTGCAGACCGTGCTCGGCGTGCTCTGCACGTGGAGTAGCATGCACTCGAACGTCGAAGAAGAGTACCACTTGGACCACTTCCCGTTCTTCCTGATGACTCTAATGGACGAGCAGGAGTTCGATGAAGGCGACTACGGCTGGGAGGAGCAGGACGAGGATTGGGAAACGACCGGCTCAAGCGTGGATTGGGATTTGGAAGAGGAGGATTTGGAAGAGGAGGAACCGATGAGGAAGAACGCGGAGATGTACTCGTTCGATTACCATAGGATGGGCGATAACTGCGTGGCGGAGCCGTTGCTGGTGGATAATCAGATTAATCTGGAGAGAAAGGAAGAGTATATATTGAAGAATTTGTTGAATTTGCAACGGCAGACGTGGATGAATCCGCGCGGATGTAACTACAGGAGTTTGGTGCGCACCGAGTTGTACAACAGGAGGTTTGGTTTGTGAGAATGTAACGGCATATAAAAGCATAATGTAATAAAGAATTGTTTTTTTTTGATCGGCGGGAAAAGTTTATGGGAGATAGACTCGCCCTGTATAATGGGGCGTTGGTAATTTCGCGGGTCGTTCCTCCGGTTCGGCAAAAGGAATTGATGGAAAGACGGGGATATTTTAAAACGCCACCGCGAACGGCAAGACAGCGCGCGAAAGTTACATAATTTTTGAATTTGTATTCATGGAATCGCGGGAAAAATCGATTTTTCCGGCCGACGGAGCGCCGGGCGCGTCGCGACGGCGGTCCCGAGATCGCCTTCGAATTAGCCGGATAATTGGCCGATGGCTTTAATTTTGTACGCGAGATTTTTTTTTTAAAGGAATATTCCAATTTATCATCCACCGAGGTTAATACGTAAATATACTGCTCCACACAAGTTAAGGAAGTTCACAAATATTGCGATTAATTTAAAAGTTTCAGATTTTTTGATCGACAAATTTAGTATGAGTTCTAGAGGTAGGAGCAAAAATACCTCTCAGAGAGAAAATGAGAGAAAATGAGAGAGAAAACATTTAATTTCGCATATTTGAAAATTTGGTGATCAAAAAGTCTGTAACTTTTAAAATAATCGCAAAATTTGCGAACTTCCTTAACTTTTGTGGAGCAGTTTATATGAATTCTGTATTGAGGAATTAAATTAAAATTTTCGTTTAGAAATTAATTACACATCATAAAGATTAATAATTCTTCACTTGAACAATTGTTGGAAAACGGGATAGTTAATATATTTTTAAAAACCTCAGCTAGTTTAATTCCTCATTTAAAACCAATCGCTACTCAATAAAAAGTTTTATCGATTCCTAATAGTTAATAGAGAAAAAATTCACTAGCGAGTGTTTGAAAATGGTGATAAGAAATTACTAAAAATGCAAGAAAACAACGGAGACCATCAATCTTCTTTTTTCTATTTCAACTCGCTTCCTGACAATTGTCTGTCATTAGTCTAATAATCGTTCAACAGTCCCATCAAAATTTTTCGTTACCAGCTCGTTAGAAATTCCAGTAATGTCCAAATCGAACGAAGAACCGTTTAATTTCTCCACCAACGACGGCTTGTGGAACATCCTGCTGTCCACCTACAATTTCCTGAACGCCACCACGTCCCTGGTGCAGGCGTTGAACAAGAAATTCGAACACTGCGCAGGAGCGCCCCCTCTAGAAACGAAACTCTCCGACGATGAGGCGAACTCCCTGTTATCCCTCCTGGAAGCCGCCGATCAAATCCAAACCTCCGAAGAGGATTCCAGCTGTAAAAATCTATCAGTAAACGACCGCTGTAACAATCTATCAGTAAACAGCAATTTTCTAGCAGCGATCGATTACGAAATGGAGAACATCATCGCCAAACCCCCCGAACCGGCGCCTCAAGTCACCTCCAATAAACGCTTCGATGGTACTCTCCGACACCAGGTGGTCAAGAAACCCCAGCTGCAGAAGCAACTGATCGAGTACTCCAGAACGGTGGTACCGAAACCCGACAAAGCGATACAGAAACTCAAAACGCAATTGGCCAAAATGTATGAATGTCACGCGAAGAATCGCCGCGATCCCAGCAACCCGGACGGCGAGAAAATCGCCGATGATATCCGCGTCATGTCGGAGATGGTGGCGAATTTGGAGCGGGAGCGCCAGATAAAATACAGCAAAACCGTGCTGCCTGTAAAGAAACCCAGCCAACCCGCCCCGGAACCCGTTAAAGACACCAAATCGGTCCACAACGAGGACATCAAAATGGTGCAAACCTCTTACAAAACGGACAACAAGGAGATGAAACCGAGACGGTTTAACAGCAAACCGATCGGTTATATCAACCTCGAAGCGGTGTCGGTAACCCGGGGGAACAGAATCTCTTTAAAACCGGTCAAAATCGAAGTGGTGACCTCCATAGCCAACGAGGACGTCCTGAGGAAGGGCCTCAAATTCTGCAACCACACCAGAAGGAGCCGGCTCTCCTGCAAGTGATTCCCGCTTGTACCCTTAATTTGCCTGTAATTGTAGCGAACTTTGTCGAATTTTAAACGTTCCCTCTCCGTCGTGATGTGAATTATTTCCGCGAGAATCGCTCGGTCAGCAGTCGCCGGATTTATTTCGACGAAATTCGCCGGTGTAAGTAAAGTACAAAGTTATTACCGCAACGTATCAAAACCGTCTCGAGCAGTAAAAGGCCGCCGATGAAAAACGTTTAGCCCCCTCGAAAGAGGCCGCGAATAGGTAGTAAAGATGAGGCCAGGAAATTGAAAAAAGACACCGAAATCGGTGATGAACTCGCTAGCGATTTAAATTGCAATTAAAGTGTATGGAAAAAGCTGGTGAAGAATCGATTCTGCGGCGTCGAATCGATTATTTTCTCCGTTCGCTGCGCCTTAACCGCGGTTAGTCGATTATCTTCCGTTTAATTCTCCGGCCCCGCGAGAGCTCCGGTTTTTTTTTTCCGTTTCCGGAGCCGTTCGTTAGATTAATTGAGCGTAAGTAGAGTAAAACGTACTATTTTTTTTCCACCTCTCTGATGCCGTCCTCGCTCATTTAAATGAGCAGCTCCTCTGCGAGCGAACGCTAAATTAATTCGCATTTCAACGCGACGAAAGAAAAACAGGTAAAATAAATGTAGAGATTTTCTCGCTGCATATAAACTAGGCGGAAATCCTCCGGCGCCGATTCGCGAGGAATTCGGCCCCTTTTTGTACCGTGAATTTATTTATTCGGTTTTCGCCGAGGAGTATTCCGCGCGGTAAAAAATTAATCCGGATGTTTATTTTAATGCGAGTAAATCGGTTTCCGGCACATCTACTAGTAGACTTCCCGAACAGGTGTTTGTAGAGCGGACGTTTTTCTTTCGACTTTATAGAGCGCCGGTTTACCCTTCGACTTTGCGGCAGTTTGAGCTCCGCTCCGCCGCCTTTTCGGCCCGGATATCGCATTTAAATTGCACAAAAAAACAACAAAAAGAGGGAGAATTATCGGGCTTTCACCGGGATTAAATCGCGTCCCTAGGAAGAAACAATCCTATCTTTTTTACATAATAATTCGGAACGTTATATGATTAAATTATATGATTATAACCTTCGGGGTATCTCGGCAAAATAGTCCAATGAAAGAAACCGCTCTAAAACCGCTCCCGAAGTGCTTTAAAACCGCTTTAAAATCAACCTTAAACGCGTACTAAAACCGCCTAAAAAGTGCTCCAATACTACTCTAAAATTACACTAAAACAGATCTAAATACGTTTCAAAAAACCTCACAAAAACATTCCAAGACAGTCCCAAATAAGCGGCTCAAACCGCCTCAGAAACCAGTCTAAAATAATTTTATAATTACGATTCAAAACTAGTTCTAAAATCTCTTCAAAATCGCTCCAAACCATACCCTCAAACTCGTTCTAAAACTTCTTCAGTACTACCAACTTACAATCACCGTCGATTCGCAAGTGCTGCCAACTTAATTCGTTCGATTTGATAAATCGCCGCGTATTAGACGGAAAAACGAAATTTTGACGTAGACATTAAACTAAAATAGTGGATATTCGAGGGAAGGGCGGGAAAGCGCTCGCAGAACCCCCGGCATTCGGAATGAACGCGTCAGATGCTATCGGCGTTTCGCTAATGCGATCAATTCCGCGATTTCCAAGAGACATCCAGCGCTCTCGTAAAGCGACTTTTACGCTCACGACTTCTGCTTGATAAGTAGGTAACATTAGAAATGCGTCTGTCGATGATGACATCGAATTTTGTCGACGCTTTTCCAATACGCTATCTCTTCGATTTGGATTTATGCGCCAATTTATCGCGCGTTTTATTATCTCTTTCGCGCGCGATTTTTCCAGCGCGATTAGAATTAATTAATCGGTCGAAATATAATTAGCCGAGCGCGCCCGGATAAAGTGTTAATAATAAATTCGATTCGGAATAATTCGCGTTTTATTAGTAACCGGTAGGTGTTTGCGTTGGAGTAATTAGAATCAGGAATTAACACAAAACGCAGCCGGACATTAACTAATCATATTTCAATTATCGCCATTTACATGCAACTATTCCGTAATTATTTAACTACTCGGTATCTAATTGCGACCGGTAATTAATAAAGAGCGTGCAATTATCGTTGAACCACAAAAAGATGTTATTGTAAACGCGTTTAAAATGTACTTTAAAAAGTAATTAGAGTACCTACAGTTGCAGTTTTTTTTTAATTGCAACTGTACTAATTACGATTCAAAAACAGTTCTAATATCTCTTCAAAATTTCGGTGTAAAACCACTGTAGAAACCGCTCTAATACTGCTCCTAATCACCTCCAAAATCGCTCTAAAACAGCTTCAAATACATTTCAAAACTTCTCATAAACCACTCTAAAACCGCCTTAAATTCCACCCTAAAGCATCCTCAATTACGATTAAAAAAACAGTCAAAAAAAGTTCAAAAGAATCCCTTATTTTGCCCTGAATAACTGGAGGTGTAAATGCGTGAGAAGTGCCGGTGTAGGGCACCCACAGCTCCACGTTTAGACGCTCATTCGACCCCCATAAAAACGGCCGAAAATCGCGGGGGTTGGCTCTCCCGCGCCGCCATTTGTCACCGGGAGTTATTAAAGTCGAACTTGCGGCCCGATAACGGCGAAAGTTCGCGTTTATAGGGGTCGAAATCCGGTCGGGTTTTTGCAATCGAACAAATTGATAACGCCGGAATCAATATAACCATTATTACGCGGGTTACTCGTTCTCGCTCGCCGTCTGTTAGCGGATCGAAGAAATTCCTCGTACGATAAATTATATCGCGGTGGGAAATAATTTTTTTAATATAAAAGCGCGCTACCTTTCCCGCCGGAATTCCCGCACGAACGACAGGGGAACCGGAATGCCATCTAGCGGCCCGAATTTCTGGAGTAATCAGGCAATTTTCGAACCATTATGACTCCGGCTCGCCTTTTGCTAATTTCGAATTTATCGGAGGTTTCTGGGAGGCGGGAAATTTTCCAGAATACGCAGATTCGCTCCGGATATAATTAAATTCTAGGCCCGTGCATTAACACGTTCGCCGCCCTCTCGCGTAAAAACCGATAAATTAGAAGTACACAAAAAGTTGGCCGAATAAATTATACGTAAAAGTCGAGCGGGGGTTCGATTCTTCTTCTTTCCGGCCCTTTACCGCGCTGGTACTCGTCCACTTTTTCGATATCGTTTTAAATAAATCCTCACGCGGAAAGAGAAACGGTTTATTTGTGAAAAAAGAATCTTCCCCCGAGCAATCGTCGCGGGTTTTCCGGGGGTTTACACGTCGAGGAATAAACAAAACGGCGCGGCGTTCCCGACGTCGATTAATCAGCGAACAGGTAACACCCTTTCGATGTAACTGTTGATTTTCCCTGAGTCGGCTCCCGGAAAATCCCGGCGTCGCGACGCGATAAGAAAAATCCCGGCTGTTGTTCCGTTTCTCCCGCATATCTCTCTCCGGTAATACCAGCGAGTCGCTTAAAAGTAAGGCAATCGAGCTCCTGTTGCTTTTAAATAATAAATTCCCTTTTCCGGTAATTAAACCGGGCGAGGTCGCGATTCGATTGCCGCCCGAATTTGCCCGAATTGAATTTGTTCTATTCGGAAATTAATTAAAATCTGTTGGCACTTTGTATGTATAGGTACATACGTGTCGCTTTGATGCTTAGTTGGTATAGAACAATAGTTTTAGTTGTTAATAAACTTTCGGTTTATTTACCCGATACAGGTAATTTCCCTACAGCGCGCTTTTGTCGGCGAGTTCTAAATCGCAGTAGGTAATTTTCACTACGCGTCATTGCATATTTTCGCTGAATAACCTCTCTGTCAGAGGCCTACGAATAAAACGAAGAGGATCGTTCAACTCAAAATGCGCTTCGTCCTTTCAATTCGGCGTGAAAGGAAGCGATTTTTACGTCCTTATTTTTAGAAAAATTGGCAGGGAACTCGCTTGCACTATCTTATTTACGACCCTTTATCCTTCTTCTAATCCATTAAGCTCGAAGAGGTTGGTCAATCTATTGAGCGTTAGGAAAAACGTCTACATTTACCTATACGATTTTTAACCGAATAGCCGCGACAACGGAGGCGCTCGATAGAAGAAAATTTTGCGCTCCCCGAATTCCCGCAAAGCAATAGACCGGAAAAATAAAGAGGAACAAACTGATGGCCTACTTCTAGTAAGTCATTAGGACATCCGTGATGTAACATTCTCCTTATTGTTTTCCATCGCATCGAGAGTTAAGATTAATGAATCCAATTTCCCCCGGCTGGAAAATCATCGGGTAAAAACGGCGCGACGTTGGAAAATGCTCTCTCCCTCTCACGGTTGATTCGGGCACGTCACGCGGACGCCCACGTGACTGTTTCCATTACTGCACTCGCCCCTTATGGGATTTCCCGTTCGAATGAATTAATTACCGGCGACGATTTTCCGAAGGAAAATTCTCGCTTTGTACACCACGCGAAGTTCGAACGTTGCAGGTACTGCGAAAATTAGTGGCCGAATAGTAGTAGTAGACGAGGCCTCATTATGTTGGTTGAATTTTTTAGTGTTTTACTAGTTTTTAAGTTGGCGATTCGGGAGAAGTTTTAGCGTCCTCGGAATAAAAGTGATAAAAAAAGAGCCGTTAACTGGAAGATTGTACTAATAGACTTCCGTTTAAGTTGGCGAAACAATGAAAACTACAAACAGAAACATAGAAGAGAAAAAAACTTAATTCTATTCGCTCTGCGAATTCGTCCCGGACTTGTTAAACGAAGCATCAAGAATCGGTCCTCGGAAAACTAACTTCTTTTTTTTTCTTGTATCTTCGCCTTTTTGATGTCTGAATTATGACGGTTCGAGGATTAGGAGGAGTTTACGACGCGTCTCCTTTTCCGTTATACGTACGGTATTGTTTATTTAGGAGTCGTCGCGTTTTTCGCCAGAAAACACACGAACCCGAACCGAGCAAACACATGAAAGGAGTACTCACTCCGCTAGTT